CCTGCTCAGGCAGGAAACCCTATACCATTTCAGACAAATGGCTGTCCAGTCTCTTCTTAAAAACCTCCAGTGTTGGAGCATTCACAGCTTCTGGAGGTAAGGAGTTCCACTGGTTAATTGTTCTCACTGTCAGGAAATTTCTCCTTAGTTCTAGGTTGCTTCTCTCCTTGATTAGTTTCCATCCGTTGGAATGGAAGATAGATAGATAGATAGATAGATAGATAGATAGATAGATAGATAGATAGATAGATAGATAGATAGATAGATAGATAGATAGATAGATAGATAGATAGATAGATAGATAGATAGATAGATAGATAGATAGATAGATAGATAGATAGATAGATACATAGATAGATACATAGATAGACAGACAGACAGACAGACAGACAGACAGACAGACAGACAGACAGACAGACAGACAGACAGACAGACAGACAGACAGATATGAGGTAAGAACTTTATGTGCACTGCTTGGAGTTGCACAAAATAAAGGAAGGATATCAAAATAACAATAATAAATATGCAAATCAGAATCCTACATGGAAAAAAAATGCCAGATGTTCAAACTAACTGTAGAAAAGGAACACAGGCCATGATTTTTGGTGCACTCTGGAAAATTGAGAAAGCTAAAGAATATTTAAAAAATGAAGTCATTGTTTCATTGATTACAGAAGTCTTTTAATTATGTTGATAACATCAAGCTGTGGAATTAATTAGAAAAATGGATATCCCAGAACATCTCATTGTCCACTCTTCTGATAGCCAAAAATGCAAAAGATTTGCAAGAAGCATGAAAAAATGGTACTAAAATTAAATATAAAGACCAAACTAACAACAACTGGTAGACCAACCAGGACTGACAATGAAGATATTGAAGTGGAAGATAGCTTTTGTGCCTTTAGGATCAACAATCCCAGAAAAGGAACAAGCAGTCAAGAAAAAACACTGTTGACAATTATTCCATACAGCAGCCATGAAAGCCTTGGAAAAGATATTCAGATCCCACCATGTGCTTACATCTACAAAGATGAGAATTGTGCAAGCCATAGTATTCTTTATGACACTATGGAAGCCAAAGTTGGACTTTGAAAAAAGCAGGATAGAAAGAATATTGAATTTTTTTTAACTTGAATACTAAAGAATACTCATGAGAATAACATACTGTATTACTGTGTAAGTCGTCCAGAAACACTTGTTTGAGCTGGATGACTATAGCAGGGCTTTTCAACCTTTTCACCCATTGTACCACTTTTAGGATATGGCAATATCCGAGTACCACCAGTTGCCTTGCAAAGTGTCAAAAACTTGATGACCAAAAAAAAAAAAAAGGAAAAAAGTGATAAAGTACAGGTAGTCCTCGACTTACAACAGTTTGCTTAATGACTGTTCAAAGTTACAATGGCACTGAAAAAAGTGCCCCCCAAGCCACAGCCAAGCAAGACACCTGCCTGCCCGCCCGGCAGCGCTCTTCTTCCTGTCCGAGGTTTTCACTGTTGTGAGCATTTCTGTTGAGGATTGGCAGCAGGGGTGGGGTGGGAGGGTGTTTGGTTTTTATTCTCCCCGACTGCTGGATGGTTGCAGCAGGTTTTGGTCACTTCACATGACCCTGGGACACTGTGACCGTCATAAATATGAATCAGTTGCCAAGCATCTGAATGTAAATCACAAGACCCTGGAGATGCTGCAACATTCCAGCTGATTGGTGCTTCTTCTGGGCTCAGAAGCGTCAGGATCAGCGCCAAGTTCCAGCTGGAGCCTGGCGCTGATCCTGGTGCTTCCACTGAGCCCTGACAGCCCCGAAGAAGCGCTGATCAGCTGGAAAGCGGCACTGATCCTGGCGCTTCCGCTGAGCCCTGACAGCCCTGCAGCTCCAGCCGTGTCTTGCTCAGGTTTGTGCAGTGCTGCCACCGGTTCAGCTCATTCCCCTCCCCTGCTACCACTTTTCTAGGGTGGTCGCATACCACCTGCCAGGTGCCAATGTACCACAGGTGGTACCCGTACAACTGGTTGAAAAGCCCTGGGCTATAGAAACTGAATAAATAAATAAAAATAAACATTAGAACAACATATCATGAAATAGCTTGAAACATGTTATCATGAACAATACGATAAGATGAAAACAAATAAAGGCAGCCTAGACCAAATCAAGCCACTCAAGGCACAAATAACCAAGCTCAAGTATTCACATTTTGGATACATTATACAAAGACCTAATTTTCTGAAGAAGTCTATAAGGGAGGGAAATGTAGAAAAGGATGACTAGCAGCAAGATGGATTTACTCAGTTATAGAGGCAATGCATGCACTGTTGGAAGATATAAAAGTTCAGGTTAGGGACAGATCATCATGAAGAATATCTAAAGATAGTCCTTGATTAATGACAACTCAAACTTACAACAGCCACAGAAAGGGTGCTTTACAGCTTTTAAACCAATTTCAGCTATCACAAAATACTGCACCACCACCATCCCTGCAGTCATGTGATTGTAATATGGGCACTTGGCAACTTGTTAGCACTTACAACCAGTTGCCAAATACCCAGTGATAGTGTGATTGCCAGTCTTCCCTGCCCCTCCCCCACAAATTTTTCCATTTTGGCAAACCCCCTCTCCCATTTGTAGCCACCTCACACGGCTGACATTTTCAATGAATCTGCCTAAGCATTTGGGGGTGTTAGGGAATGTACATGTTTTTCAGTGAGTTCAGAAATCTAGTTATATCTTCTACTGGTATAAGTTCATTTAATCAATGTATATATTATTTCCCACATCAAGCTATTGTTCCAGTTACTGATTATTTTGAGACAGTTTTCTCTTTATTTGAGCTAACTACAAATATAAAATTGATTTTTAAGACGTTTCTACATACAAAAATAAGAAATTACCTTGGGTTCTCAAATGTGATAATACAGCACATTTTATCAAGCAAACAGACAATTCCAACCAGAGATGTATCGATGTTCAACTGTGAACCTACATTCATTATTTCTTACTATAGACTCCTTCCAGTTACAAGACAGAAATATAGTACTGGTAAGCTCATGCTTCTGACATTACTTCTTCTTAAAGTATTTCTTCCATAAAAGAATACATTTTCCTCAAGAGGAACATGTAGGACTTTCAGCTGTCCAAAGCAGAAGTGCCAATTCTCTTTTTGCATGTTAACTGAAACAGCAAGGTCTTATCAACATATTTTCACAATTTTAGTTCCTTTTGTAACATACAAAATGGCACAGACTCTTCAACAATTCTAATTCATATTCATGAAGATCCTTTCAATCATCACACCTAATCTCTCTCCAGTCACATTTTCATTGTTTTAAGAAAGCTAATGTAATATCTCTAAATTACCTTCTAATTTTCGACATCTTAAAATATGCTCTAACCTGATCAAAGGCGGGATAAATATAGTCAGCAAACTGGATTTCGGCGATAGCTGTGGCACCAGTGACTGCAATTCCAATGCCAAATCCCACAATTCCTTGTTCACATAAAGGAGTATTGAACACTCTGTCTTTACCTATAAGAGATTTTTATTAATATATAATATATAAACCAGGAAAACATATTTTAATACATGGTATCTGATGGAATGAAAAGAGCTTACACTGTTTGTGTAGAACTAAAAGATAATGATGAAAAGGGTCATTTTGGCCAATATTATTATTATTATAATAATAATAATAATAATAATAATAATAATAATAATAATAATAATAATAATAATAATAATAATAATAATAATAATAATAATAATAATAATAATAGAGTTGGAAGGGACCTTGGAGGTCATCGAGTCCAACCTCCTGCTCAGGCAGGAACCCTACACCATTTCAGACAAATGGCTGTCCAGTCTCTTCTTAAAAACTTCCAGTGTTGGAGCATTCACCACTTCTGGAGGCAGGTTGTTCCACTGGTTAAGTGTTCTAACTGTCAGGAAGTTTCTCCTTAGTTCTAAGTTGCTTCTCTCCTTGATCAGTTTCCATCCGTTGCTTCTTGTCCTGCCTTCAGGCGCCTTGGAGAATAGCTTGACTCCCTCTTCTTTGTGGCAGCCCCTGAGATATTAGAACACTGCTATCATGTCCCCCCTCGTCCTTCTCTTCGTTAAACTAGACATACCCAATTCCAGCAACCGTTCCTCCAATCCTCTTCTCTATAGAGGAATCAGAATTAAAACACTGAACATAGATTGAAAGTCCATTACTTCTATGGGTAATTGGTATCACCACTGAACTGCTCTTGCAATCTCAAAGCTTCTTCTAAGCATTCTGCTGAAATCCATCTTCCTGTTACTCAAAACCTTTAGTCCGTGTTATACACACTGGATTCCATGTACTTCAGACATATTAAGAGTATGATCATATTTCCCTTCAATGTTCTCCCACAGCTAACTACTTCCAGTTCGTAATTTTTCTTCTAACTTTCTAAATTTTCCTCAATAATTTCAAAATTAAACCACTCTAATTTATTTTATGTAAAGCTATGCTTGTGTAGCTAGATTCCTCAGTAGAACTCCATATTATGCCCATATGAGCAATGTATTATTTACAAAGCCTTAAACGTGACATCATACTACTTTCCATACAAGTTGTCTGTGAATGCCTCGCACACTGTAGTGCCAACACCTATTATATGTAACAATCTCCCCAGCTAGATCAGATGCACTCCTAAACTAGACTTTTGTTTTTATCAACAATTAGGACATTTATCAATTATTTATTTAATCAGATTTAGATAGCATCCAAAGTGACTCTGGACGACAAAATAACATCCATTTGCAAAGACTAATTCATACCAACCATTCTAGTAACTGCTCTAAAGTTATTCAAAATTATGGTTTTAACCAATGATCTCAATTTTTTGTTATTGCTAATTACGTTTACTTATTGTACAATATAATAGTGAGACCTTTATCAAAATGAAAAACATTTTATGAAAATAATAATGTAACATGAGATATGAATTATTAAATTGTGAACTTACCAAATTTGTCTCTCAAGCCAACGGTACATCTGAAAACTCCACCAAAGGATACATCTTCACCAAATATTACTGTGTATATTAGAAATCAAGGAAATAGTTGTTCAGAAAGAAACTGGATTGTTAAAATTGAAAGTCACCTTCATCTAACTTTTTTCTACTGTGTGTTTTTCTTTATATAACATGAATTTGATGAGTGATAAGAACCAAGCCCTTTCATAAATAATACTGGAAATGAAAGTACTAGCCAATTTACAAAAACCATGGAAGAAATCTATTTCCATTAAAAGTTGTACCTTTTCCACTTACTTCATTTCATAATTTTTGCAACAAAGGCTATCTTCATTTTTTCCCCCAGCAAATAAAATTATATTAATTTAGCAGCACACATCACTGAAGTAGGCTTCAAACATCAAACAGAAACTTTATTTGGGAGCAAATTCAAAACCTAAATAGAATTATTTTACCATCCAAAAATGATATGAGGGAGAAAATATGCTGATTAAGCATCTCCAGAATAACATAATTGTTTTTGCCTTATGTAGTAATGAGTGAATTATGTAGTAGTGAGCATCCTCAATCGAAGAGGCTCTAAGTAAAAGTTTCTCTTACATAGCAAAGCATAAAAACTTACCTGCAGTTGGATCTCTAGATAAGGCATTATCCAAGGCACTTGTTATTGATTGGAAAAGGTTCATTTTTTGTGTCTGGCCTGTGAAGAGATTATTTAGTTAAACAAGGCCAATATTGAATTGATTGCCAAATAGCACCATATAAAAACAGCAAGATCCATTTGGAAAGCTTTAAGACTTGTCAGAATCCAATATTTCCATCTGTTTTCCAATGTATCACTAATGTATGTACTCAATGATTGTGTTTGTTCAACAGTGTGTAACAATTGGAGAGAATAGGAGGGAAAATCCACAAAAATCATCCCCTTGATTGGTTAGTCAGTCAACAGAAGTTCCACCAAATTAAAAGTGTATTTTTAAAAGATCCTCTCCATTTGTTAAAAGACCTGCTGTCCATGTTTACAAAAATATCTTATTATAATTATGATTTAATCATTTAACTTAATTTTTCTGAGATCATAAATATCTCAAGTTCTGTGGATCGTAGAATTGTCATCTCTATGGCTTAAGATTGGTTTAAATTTTAATTAGGAGATGAAAGGGAATTTCCTCAGAACTAAGCAGTCCTCTGCAACACAGTCTTAGCACGGAGGGACCAGTAATAGATTAAAGTCCCAGAACAGGAATTATGACATTTTAAAGGTGACCTCAATTACTACATATCACATAAAGGTCTGGCACAAGATATGACTTTCACTCCTACCTAAAGTGGGTTTTTCAATATCACTCATGCTCTTTCCGTATTCAAAGGGACAATGAAGGGCATATCTTTTGTCAAAATGAAACATCAACATGCCATGATAAGGACAGAAAATGAAGAGACAGAATGGCACAAGAGTGCAGTTAAACTGTATTCACAAAGGCAAATACTGCAACACTCTACAGAAGGTGCCAGGCCTCCGCTATGAGTGACAAACTGTAACTACTCTAGTTTCTTCTTCTATAAAACTCTTCACGGAAGTTAGAATAGAATAACAGTCTTGGAAGGAACCTTGGAGGTCTTCTAGCCCAACCCCGTTTAAGCAGGAAAACGTATACCATTTTAGACAAATGGTTGTCCAACTTTCACTGCTGGAGCATTCACAACTTCTGGAGGCAAGTTGTACCACTGATTAATTGTTCTGTCAGGGAAATCCTTCCTCTCTACTTTAAATAACGGGAAGGGACAACCTGCGTCATAACCAGGCACTTGGTAAGCGCCACCAGCTTTAGTGTATTGTGGTCCCACTTGATTTCCTGAACAATCATAGCTTGTTTGTACTGTTATCACGTCAGTGGCTGCATCTACACAGGTGGTGGAAACTTCATTTTAGGATGCAAGGGAGGAAGAAGTACAGGGGTAGTCAACCTTGGCTCTTTTATGACTCGTGGACTTCAACTCCCAGAATTCCAAGGTTGACTACCCCTGAAGAAGTACTTTCTGATTCGCGTGTAAGACTTTTTACAGGCATAAACCCAACGCAGCGGGGACGCCGTTTTCGTAAGACCCTGGCCTATTGCGCCAAAAGCTTTTGAAAACGCTTGCACAGATGCCGCTTCCCTTTCCGCCATCTCAGCCAGCTAGACTGGAGAAAAAGCCGCAGCAAAGGGGAGGGGGGGTGTCTTCCTCCGACTGACTCGCTTCCCTTGCACTCGACAAGGGGCTGCAAAGAGGCCGGGGAGCGGCGTCTTCTCCCTCCGACGGTCAGCACGGACCCGGGCGAGGAGGATTAAAGCGCTCACCATATTGGGTGGGCTCCGGGTCCGGCTGGAAAGAGAAATGCGCCGCGCGCCTGCGGGCTGGAGACCCCGTCGCGAGACGGAGCCGAAGAGTGGAGACCGCAGCTCTCCGGAGCCCGAGACCGGCGAGGGCCATCTCGACCACTCGCCGCCGCGGGGTCTGCTCACTGGGACGAGCGCGAGCACGTTGCGGGAAGGCGGGGACTCACGCCTGCTCCTCTCATTGGTAGCGGCGCCAATAGTAAACAAACCAATCGGAGCCCTGCCAGCTGGGGCGGTGGGTATTTTTTAAGGAGCGAACCTTCCTTCTAGGAGTGAGGTGTGCTGGGCTGCTTTACGCATGCGCAGAGGGCGAGCGTTGATACGCTGATGGGGCAAAACCCAGACGGTGACAGAAGAGAGTGAATGTTTTGGGCGGAGCATCTGTAGGGTAAAGAGAATCTGTTGGAGATTTACACTTCGGGTTCTAGTTTGATAAGGTAGTGGTTGTAGTATAAGATCGTACAGATGGCGCTTAAAGTGTCAAATTTAGCAGAAATGGCTAAAATTTCCGCTTATTTGAAGGATCAATCACAAGAAAGATACATCTCGGTCTGGAGAAGATGGATAGATTATATTCAGAATAAATATGGGACTAAAAAGTTTCATTTGGGTTATGAGTAAATTTTAGAGTATTGTTATTATTAATAGTTTATTTTAACGGAATTTTTGTTAGTTTTAATTATATGATATTATTATTATGTTTAACATTAGTATTGTACTGTTTAATATTTAGGTTATGAATAGGTTTATTATTGTGTTTAATTTTAATTTGTTTAAATTTATGTTAAAGGGAGTTAAAGTGCATTATGGACTTGGTTATTTTAATAGTTGGTTAATGCTAGATAGATTTTGATTATTATATTTGTAACCCTGTGTTCAGCTCTGGGAAGTGGGGGAGGGGGAGGGAGGGGGTTTGGAGTGGGTATGGGGGTTTATACTGTAATTTCCATAAAACTTTTAATAAATAATAAAAAAAAGATCGTACAGATGGCATACTTTCCTTTGTCGGCAGAATAAGGAAAAAGCAAGCGTCGTACTCCAGTGTTGTAGGGTAGCACCTTGTTAACATCGATATGGGCCTTCCAATCACCCTATCCGAAAGGCAAAATTGATCTTCGCAAATTGCCTTGGTCTTATAGCACAAAAAAGTGGTTGGTTTAATTGTACCGTGCATAGAAAAGATTCTTTTGAATACAAAGAAAAGAGCGAATCTTCTCAGCAGACCTTGTGCTTTTCAGGCAAAAGATGTCAAACTCTCCAGAAAATAGGGATCCTGCTGAGAACTTGAATGGCCAGTAGTGGCTCTGTCAACTCAATGAGCTGCGTTTGGTTACTGCAATGTGTAGATTCACATTGCCACGCTGTGTATTTGTTGTGCAATATAATCCAGACAATATGTCAGTGCAGATCTTAAACGGAGGCCCAATTTGCTTTGCTATATACTTTAGTTGGAAATATATAAATATATATATATATAGTATATTTCTGTACTCTCAAAAAAACTTCCCATGGCTAAGTTACTCAGGGTTTACAACTGGATTCACACTGCATATCAAGCCATAATTACACATAGCAACATCTACAACAAACTGCAATGATGCCAGAAATATATGTGCAATGTCATCAGGCAAATGCCACCTTTATGTACTTGTGTTCGGATATCGTACACAAATCATGGCATTTATATAAAAATGTATTTTCTTATCCCCCTTTTCCGTGGGTTTGAACAATGTTCTAAACCAGGGATCTTCAAACTTGGCCCTTTTATGACTTGTGGACTTCAATTCCCAGGCACGCTAGCTGAGGAATTCTGGGAGTTGAAGTCCACAAGTCATGAAAGGGCCAAGTTTG